GGCGTAAGGTGGGAAGGGAGGAGGGAGGTGAGGGGTGGGGGGAGGGGCGGGGAAGGAGGAAGTGCAGTAGTAGTAGTGGGGGTTCTTGAGGAAGCTCGTGTAGGGGTCTTCCATGGATGGCGTGGTTTCTTGCTCCGGCGCACTCTTTCTACTTTGCTTCTCTCTTCTTGGCTACTTGCCTGGGAGTGAGGTGAGGTGAGGTGAGGTGCCGTGGTTGGCAAGGGGTAGTTATAGTGAGAAGGGGAAGTGTGAGCAGGAGAGAGAAGGCTAGCATGTATATATGGGGATAAAATTATGTGAGCGGTATTGTTCTTCGGACTGTTGTATTCTGCTAGGGGGAATCCTAAGCTCACCCAGTTGAGAACTTGGATATCATGACGGTACATCATGCATGTAATGATAGGCGTATAGTAGTATTTGTTCAGGCCAGGACAATGCTTCCTTTCGTCATAAATTCTTTTTAAAAAAAGGACTGTGATGTTTGGCACATGTGTGGCAGATAGCAAAACTATCACACACATCATTTCTTCCATATAATTACATGCATGCATGCATTAGAGTGACTCATTCTTCATTCACGTTCATTCCTTCCTCTCATTACATACATCCACTAGATGATCAAAAGTTGATGTCATCCTAGATTCTCTCATATTCCAACAGTTTAAAATGTTTTGTAGCTCAAACCGTCGGTCCGATGCAAAAACCGTTTTCATATAAAAGATTTCTCGTGATAAGATCTTCAAAAATAGATCCCATGCTGGTATGTTTCTGATAACTTTTTTGGGGTCAAAAGTTACCATGCCTCGGCTACATAATTTACCGCGTCTGCGGTATGCAACTTACCGTGCTATTTTCACATAAGTTACCAGGGGTATGTTTTCTAATAATTTTTTTCCACTTGTCAATGTTACCGTAGTGTTTTCATACAAGTTATCAAGTATGTGGTTCATATATTATCATGTTATTTCACATAAGTTAATGTATGTTTTTTAACGACCCCCCTTATCAAATGTTATTGTGGTGTTTGTGCCTAAGTTATCAGCTGCGAGATTTGTACATTACCATGCTTTTTTATGTAGAAGTTACCGTGTTATGTTTTTTTCATAATTTGCCGCCCTTGGTCAAATGTTTCAATGGTGTTTGCACTTAAATTATCAGGTATGCAGTTCATATATTACCGTGATATTTACATAGAAGTTATCACCGGTGTGTTTTTCAACATCTTTCCCCTCTTGGTCAATATTACCGCAGTGTATGTATGTAGTATTTTTCTTCCGACCTCGTCCCCGCCCTCGTAGCCTCCTCCCACACATGTGTTGCATAATTTACCGGGGTTATATTTTCCAGCAATTTCCCCCCCTTGGTTGAAAGTTACAGCGGTGTTTGTACTTAAGTTATCAGGTATGTAATCCGTATATTACCGTGCTATTATCACATAAGTTATCAGGGGGAGGGTGTTATGTTTCCAACAACTTTTTTCTCCTTGGTCAAAGTTACCGTGGTATTTGTACGTAGTTACCAGGTACATGGTTCTTTAATTATCGTGCTATTTTCACATAAGTTATTGAGGGATGTTTTTCAACAATTTCCCTCCTTTGGTCAAAGTTACTGTGGTGTTTGTAAGTAGGTTATCGGATAGGTGGTTCGTATATTACCATGATATTTTCATATGAATTACCGGGTATGTTTTTCAACAATGTTTTTCTTTCTTTGGTCAAAGTTATCGCGTTGTTTCTATGTAATTTATCGGGTATGTTGTTCATATATGACCATATTATTTTCATGTAATTTACCGGGGTATGTTATGAAGAACATTTTCCTAGGGTCCCAAAGTATCGTGATATTTGTATGTGACTTATCAGCTCTTCTGTGTGTATATTACCATGATATTTACACAACAATTACCGGGGTACATTTTCCAACATTTTTTCCCTGGGTCAAAGTTCCTGCGATGTTTGTATCTAAGTGTGTATTTGGTTTGGGAACGAAAAGATGAAATATGCAATGGATTTGGTTCTTCACCTCTTGTGAGACTATTTTCAACAACCATGATTTATCATCAACATATAACCCCCTATTTGTGTTAAATTTGTAGTTTTCTCTAATTTCAACCAAAGAGAAGTTGAGTACTCTATCCACATCAAGAGAGAACAAAATTGATGCTAGATCTGCTGCTGCTACTGCTTCAAAATTGATGCTAGCATCATTCTACTTTCATCAATAGGAGGCTCTTTCCTTCAATCTACTACTGACACTAGTAAAGAGCATCATCATCATTAGATAGTCGCATGAGCCAGAGCTGAAGGATCAAACAGCTGCTGATCTTGGTCCATGTCCGCGACACAAAGACGTCACACTTTTCCAGCTGAATGGATCAATCAAACAAGTACGAAAGAGCTACTGCTTGGTGAATGGATCTTGGTCCATGGCCGCAGCAGCTCATAACGCGTGGACGCTGCAAGACCAGCAACAACAGCGTCGGCCGCCGTCACTGGCATCTCCGGCTGTTGGCTGAGCACCGGACACCGCCGCCCATCATCTTCCTGGTCGTGAGCCGCGCACCCGCAGCAGCAGCTTGTTAGGCTATCTGCCACCGCTTGTCGCGCGTGGCCGCAGCAGCAGCAGCACCCGTGTCGCCGTCGTCCCCGCCCCTCCAGCTGCCGCCGGCTAAGCACCGGATTCCGCCGCCTGCCTTCCCGGCCATGAGCCGCGCACTCGCCGCCTCACTTCTAGCCCCGCTTCAAGGGAGAGCATTGCTGCCCGCCCCACTATGGCCCTCCTCCTCCTTCCCATCACGACGGCCTAAGAAGGAAGTTCGATGAGATGGGGAAGCACGCGAACGCGGCGGCCGGGACTCGCGATGACAGTGGTGGCTGCGCTCGGTGGAGTGGATCAACAGGGACAACCTCGACCTAGGGAGAGCTGGCAAGGGTGTCGAGCTTGGGGGCACGGACTGGCGTGAGCGGTGGCGTGCCCGACGACCACGATTTTGCACAGGGCAGCGACGCAGTAGGTAGATGGGGATCGTGGGTGCCTGGGTGGGTGGGTTTGACGAAGGGATCGCCTGATGAGACCGTGTGGCAGTTTTGCAATCTGCCACACGGTTGCCATATACATATTTCGTTTAAAAAAAGACATAAGAAGCTCCCGGCTTTAAATTAATAAACCAACAAAGGCTAACGATAAATAAATCTTACATAAAGTTTACGAATTTTTATAGGTAGCTTACAAAGCTGACCGACGAACTGAAGACACCATTGTGGCTGAAATGGAACAAAGACTACCCAAAAAAAGACGAAACTCAGACAAAAGATATCAGGATAACAACCGGACTTCAAGAGGAGTCACTCCTATGTAGAGTGTGTAGGCATTTGATCTCAAGCAGAACTCCGGATGTCGCTTTATCGCCCTTCCTCTTTCTAGAGGCGCCGAATGAAAAAAAGGCCATTTAAAAATGTAGTTAGTTGGGTGAGCAGATAGCTTTCCTTCAATAACTATTTTGTTTCTAGTTGTCCAAAGCACCCAAGTTATAGCCACAAAAGAGGGTACAACCAACCTACGTTACTGGTCTCTCATGGAGACCCAGGGCTAATTGTTCAGACATGGAATTCGGCACCCAAGAGGCTCCAAAACTGTCCCCGAAACTCCAAAGGAATTTTGCAGGAGCACATTGAAAAAGAATGTGTTTGTCATCTTCCCGGCTAGCACCTTGGAGTTTCTAAAGATTACTCGCAAATGGGAGGCGGTCTAGCGAAGCTTGCCAGAGGAATATACACACCTTGAGTGGGACTCTCATCGCCCACGGGGCTTTAGCTTATCTAACCCCGAGGGCCCTAGATCAGTTTCGTGTGGAGAGATTGGACCGAGAAGGCACCCGATGCTTTCAGGTACCATCGAACGGTATCCTTTCTGCAGAAAGCGAAACTCCCACAACTAATGTTTGCAAGGCTTCCTAGACAGCGAGCTCGGGAGTAGGTAAGTTACACATAAATGCCAAGTTGGTCTAGCCGTTGACGAAAACATCGCTGACAAGGATCTCAGGATCGGAAGCAATAATGAAGAGCTCAGAGAATCTGGCATATGGAGGTGTGTCTTCGATCCACTTAAACAACTAAAATTCAGTATCCTTCACATTCCCTCTATCAAAACGGGAACCCAAGTAAAAAATCATTGCATTTCTGCATCACATTCCAAGCTTGGGAGCCATTGGCTTAGACGAGAAGAACAAACAATTCAAAAAGTATTTCGCTTTAAGTAGTCGATCCCAAAGGTTGTTGTCGCCCCGAGAAATTTTCAAAATCCACTTGGTGTAATACTTTTACAAATTATACTTTCTTCATGCCCGTATTTTTTTATTATCGACCTCTCACTTTTTAAACATGTGGACATGTTTGTCAAGTCTAAGTTTTTCTTGAGTCGAAGCAAGGTCTAAGCTTGGTGGAGATGATACATACATTTTGCGCTACAATTTTAGAGAGTAAAAATTATAACTTTTATGCTATTTTAGTCATCTTTGCATCAATTTAATTGCGGTCTATCTTATAATGCAGAGAATTGAAGGTTTGATTCCCAGAGATGTTGCCATGAGGGAATTTTGGACCTTCGTGAAGAAAGTACGGTGCTAGATAGTTCACGGAGTTTGGGACCAAAAGAGGCCAGGATCCAAAGGGAGGTAGCCAGGTGGGCCTTGGGGTGCCTAGGCGCCCACCCTCGTCTATTTATGACCATAATGATATGTTGTATTAGTTTGTATGTTGAGATAATACAAAAAGTAATTGAGATGCAAATTCAAGCCAGTTGGAGTTAAAGAAGTCCAGCGGTGAAGGTGAAGATAGTACAGTGGCCTAAACTTACAATTTAGCGGTCTCCTAGTGATTCTGGAAAATTCATCATAGTAATATTAAATGGATTGTGGGTGAGGTAGCTTATTATTTCATTATGATCAAGTGGAAGTATCTAGCAGGGTATTACGACCCACTAGTGATCGATAATTTAGTTAGCAACCCTTGGTGGTGTGAGCTTTGTTGGAATGTGAACTGTTACCTATGCCTAGGTCCCACGGGCACCCCTGTAGACCCCCAGGCCTTTTATGGATGTTCCAGAGGTGATTTGGC